AGATACTTATATAAAAACCGTCCGTCCATAATTATTCTGCGGACAATGATATACTATATTACTAGATATGATTTAACCTTACAGTTATTGCCAATCATTCACAGGCAAAATTGTACAAAAGTAAAACTTGATTATCGACAAAATATGTGATTAGTTGGGGATTCGGATTTCTTTTTAGGAAATTGCTGCTTTACAAGTGGACGTGTGAAATATTGAGTCAATATAATAGGAACTGGGCTTTTAACACGTGGTTTCATTTATGTTATATCCATTACATAAGCAAAATGGCAAGCGTATTATTTTGTGTTATATCCATTTAATCCAATACTACAATTGCTAATTCAAATCTTTCTGCCATATACCAAACTCATAATTTAAATATCTTCACCAAAAGCCCAATAAATTACATTCGGAAGCCGAAATTAACCGATTACACCGACAGTAGGCCATGCCATTGGCGCACTATAATAATATTTTATAGGGAGGGAGACAGGCGCCAGCCGCGATATAATTGTCACATAGGCCTCTGATTCATTGGTCATTGGATAATTGGCTACAACATAAATACTTCCACACCGTCCAACATCTGTACTGTTTGAATTGGCGGTCCTCCTCAAAACTGTAGGTTTTTGTTAGCTCCTCTTGAAACACATAATGTAAACTGCCATGCTTTGGTTGAAGAATGGTTGAATAAATGGTTGTACTAATTCATATAATAGAGTTGAGTAAGTAATAACATCTTACGTTCACTATGGCTGCAATTTCAGGGTAAACCTTGATAAAGAGACTCTACGGGTTATCTATTATCAAAGACTCCTTATATCCTGAACAAATTTAAAATTCCCATGTTATTCTTATGGAGAAAATGAAAACTGTTGCAGTTTACTTGTTTATGGATATATTTTGATAAAATTTGGTAAATGTATTTATTTCTTCCTATGCTATTGACGTTTAGTCAAAAAACACTGATTACCTTCCCCGTAGCAGCAAACCTAAGCACTCATTAAATCTAATGTTCTTTAAATTGGGAATAAATATGTCTTATTTATGGAAATATTTTAATAAATATGTAACCAGACAAGTTGAAATTCGCTTAGTCTGCAAGTTTGCTGCGGTGGGGGTATTTTCCATTTCCAAATGTATTATCTGTAACAAAACGTACATCTCAACCTTAGAAGGGGTTTCTTTTAGAAAGACTTCTTATCAATATCCTATACTTGGATTGGAACTTAATATTTTATACTAAGAACATGATTTGAAAAAAAAAAGCTTACGAGGAAAGCAATTCTTCAAAACACGGTTAAAATGCACTTCAAGACATTTTTAAACAACCTCTAACTAATGTAGTTGCGAAAGTAATTTTCACTCTGCAATATTACGTTTCCACGATACCTATTTTACTTCTACTACATTCAATTGTATCGACAAAGAATGAGTACCAACACACATACATTCTTAAACCCCCCGCACCCGTACTAAATTTGCATTCATATTTTCCAACAGAATCATCAGGGATATGAAAACTGCTACGTATGAACAGTTACACTTGTCAATCCACAACGTCTATGAGGAACACGTGGACCCTTGCCAATACATCAACCAAAGATCGTCCCAAGTTTCTCTTCGGTAGCAACGAGAGAACTTATCGCTTCTCGAAACTCACTTGCGATGTTATTGATATTAAAAAAGTCCGCGGAAGCGACTTTGGGGGCGGAAGGGGGGCGCTGGGTAATCGGGACTGAGATTGGACTGACAAATGTCCCAAGTCTGATAAAATATGTCCTTACTGTCCCAGTCCTGATAGCCTCTTGCTCGCTCTGTGCAACATTAGTCGATATTACTTTTGACTCTTTCGGTATTTGGAAAGGCATTTGTCTAGATATGTTACGTGACGTCAAACTTTGACTGTAAATAATACATTTTTGTGAGAAAAAAACAAACAAACGAATAATGTAATTTTGTTTTAAAATAACATTTCAGGGTATGTGAGGTGGAGTTTTTAAAATTTGTGGGAAAATTTGGGATTAAGAAAAAGATTATGTTTTAGGAGACAGAATGGAAGGCTGTCATGTTGTTTTGGGTTTACTCGAAAAGAATTTTATTTTTAAACAAGTTGAGTTAAACGAACAGAATAATAATGTAATTTTTGTTTAAAAATAACTTTTCACATAACTTCAAATAACTTGTGTCACATGCGGATCAATCATTATAAATTAACTTTGTTTCGTAAACATATGGATTTCCGGACGATTATCCTGTTTAAATAGTAATTATTTGGATAGGCCATTAGTATTACTCAGCTTAAGGCTATAGACCGATTTGACTTCCGTGTGTTTCAAATCTGACGTTATTTGTTTATTCTTTCAGGTTAAATATCTAAACTTTTTTGGCAGTTTGGTGACGCCCTAACTACATTCCTTGGTACACTTATTAAAACTTTGATTTAGTGAACGAAGTATTTATAGGTTCTCGGATCTATGTAATAAAAAAGGATTTTAAAGAAAATACGTATACAAGGTAAAATAAATTGCAAAAATATTTTTTTACATGCAATTATTGTTGTTTACATAAGTTTTTAGACAATCAGCAGATATTTATGCAGGCAGAAGAGTACAGGGTTTTAAAACAGCCTCAGTCCGGTGGGGTTTCGGCTTTCTAGATTGAAACTTTTCGAAACTTACTAATCAGCAAATAAATCTATATCTTTCCATCAAAATTAAACGAATACCATTGTTTAAACAAAAACCTTTGATTTAGCCTGATGCGAAAAGTGTTGACAAATATTTGTGTATCTAATACGAAGGTGTAGGAAATTGACGTAGATGCTATACACATCTTAGATGCCTACATTCTTTCATTGAATGCAAACAATGTTCGTTAAATCAAACATTAACCACTTTAAATACATTTTAAAAATAATACTCATTGAATCAATTTCGCTATCGAAATTAAACTAATATAATTGTTTAAATCGTTACTCGTTACAATAAAAGTGTATACTCCTTAGTACTTTTCACATAAATATGATAGCACTAATCAAGCTATCGTAAGCGCTCCATAAATTGCAAACCTCAGGAAGATTGCGCCATGCGCAATATATCATACGTACCGGATAGAGTACATAACGTACATAAACATACCCATAACCGAGCGATAGTCCGATAGTGGTACAATAAGTGTCAATTACAGCATTGATCATAAGCTTTAACGATAATTGATAAGAGCAATTGCACATTTGCAGCTCAATGGCTATCTGTTATGTAAGATATGTGCTTTATAATGTTTCATTTACAAAGATGCAGTGAAAATACTAATGCAGGTTTCAGTTGAGTTTCTCGTGTTTTCAAAATTCAATTTTTTACATTCAGTTTTCAGAATCAAAATACACGTTGAAATGAATCGAAGCTACGAGTATTTTCTGTAATACTGTATAAACACTGTACGAAGAGTTTTGCATGTACAGTACAATGGTTATCGATAAATTTTGAGAGGTTTCAATACTTTTTCGTTGTCTACGCCGGTGGAATTTTTATACTGACTAAACTCCTTAGATTTTGTTGATGTTTAAAAACAAATAAATTGAGAGAGTGTTCCCGCCTGGTTACAGAAACGGTTCTAAACCAGAACAATGATTGAATCATAGATGAAAGGAGTAGACAACATGTCTACAATGTCTACTCCTTTTATCTATGATTGAATCACGAAAATTACAAACTTTACCATTTATTTTTTCCCATCGGTTCGTTATTCCAAATTATAAATCACTTGTTTGGAGCGTATACTGGCATACAGGCATTTTTACTGTAAAAGCTCGCATTTTTTGCAATTGAATAGAAAGTGCGTACGCAACATTTTATTTAATGTACAAATCTGTAATTTTTCCTTTATCCCAATAATTATTCATTAACCTAGGAAAATACAATTGAAAATCTTTTTCCTGAAACCATTTTTGCTTTCGATTCTAAAAATGTATCCATTTAGTAGTCGGAATGATTTAACTTATTCTTAAAAATAAAAATAAATAAATTGGAGATTTTATCTCTTTAAATCTTTTTCGCTTTCTTTTGCAAAATTCGCCCATTACTTTGTGTTTATGGGTTTCAAAATGTTTTACTATATGTGTAGTGAAACAAACCGGCTTTAATTGTAAACAAAACTTAATATAAAATCTAAACTGTCTTGGAAACGAGATGTATGTCTTATTATCTAGCCTGATGGACCAAATCAGCTGACATTTCACAGAAATTGCTCCTGTACCAAACTGTGTCATATAAATATTACCGTACCGACTTGATGCTTTGACAAGACCTTCAGAGTTAAGCTGGGAATCTTAGAAGTAAATTTTTAATAGCATCAAAAAAATTGCAATATTTTAAAATTAGGTTTATTAAAATTGTTATACATTTCAGTGGTGATATTGCTGTACCCTATCTATATACCACCGCAAAAGATTTTTACTTTAGTGTACATGTTTGGCACATCAACTAAAAAATCACATCTCCGCATTGTCACTCTGAAGCAGACCTAGAAGTAATAAAACAGATACAAGCGAAACACGCTCAAAACATTCTTATTTCCAAAACACAAAGATTGTTTCAAAACCCGCTCCATCGCAATTGCCGGTCCAGATGATGATTTCAAGTGAAGCAATCACAGCTGATGAACTTTGCTCTCGATACAGCTGTAACCGCAGACGATCGTTCAGGAGCGCGATGTACCATTAGATGTGCGGGCAATCATATCGAAATCGAGCGATCGCCTGCGGTTTGATCGACTGGTCAGAAATTTCGGTACTCGATAAACTGTTCATTGAACCGCGGAGATAGCTCAGTTGCAAGAACTGGAGTCTCCTCTTTCAGGAATTATGATTCAGCGAAGATGGTAATCGATCATTTTCAGATTTTATGGCCAATTAATGTCAAACTGATAATTGATAACAGTCACGCAATATAAGCTAATATTTTTCTCCCTTTACGGAGATACACCAATATCGTACTTACCTTTGACGATATGAGCGTCAAAGTCGGTGATGACTCCTGAAACAAAATACAAACTTTTAAATCTACTTATAGAAAGGTATTTACTGTATTTATGGGTACAGATTGAGGAGTAGACATTAAGTATTTAAAAATACCTAGTCTAGTCTTTAATCTGTGATACGAGGAAAATACTGTGTTAGCTTCAATTGCAAGTCACAAGTTGTAATCTAAAGAGTACATAATGCTTAATTTGGCAATTTTTCGTGAACAAGAATATTTTTATCTCATGATAATGTAGGAATATAGGTATGTTTATAGGAATGCTAGGTAGCTGAGAGGTTGTAGGTAGCCTAGTAGGTTCAATCCTGATAAAAGTATCTAGCTTTTTTATGGTTTGAAACTGGACCAGGCTGTCTTTGATCGTTGCTCTTTTCTAATGATCCGGAATGAAACCGCTGGTCAAGTCAGTAACAAAACTTTACATCTCACTTCATTCTACACCTATCCTTCACTCAAGTTTGGAGGTGGGGTCCACATCTCAACTAATAATAATACCTATATTGAATGTCCTCAACTTTATTTCATATGCCACCATCAGTAACATGGTGACATGGTTCTATCACTTCATGCCATTGTGAAAAAAAGTACTCGGGAACATATTTGTTTTTAGTTGAGAACAGTCCAGGGCAAATGTGAAGGAACTCCTATCAGAGGAAGGAACTCTTATCAGCGGTTGCTATTACAATAGTTTAACGTCCTGACAACGCTGTCGTATATCCACTTAGCATGCGTGAACTTTCGGACAAAGCAGTTTCGGTTTCCATAAGTCTGTCCGAGATAAGCCCGGCTGAGACATCGGAGATGCCATAAACCAGAGGGTCGCTGACGCTCGGACCACCGTCGCCGGCCGAGTTATTCACCTATCATTGTACGGTGATCGTGTATTTCCATAAAATAGCCTAACGAGCCACAGAAGCATTGTGCCGGCCTCTTCGACAGCGAATTCCCAGAAGGTGTATGCTGCAAGATTCATGAGCCCGAATTTCCGCCATTGTTCTATTTCTCAGCCTCCGATTTTGGTTTTGTTGGCTCCGCTCAAACGGGACGACTTACGTACCGACTCTACGACTTATTAAACAATGACGTTTTTGTCCGATTTCGAGAAGACATAAAGCGGGTGAGCGGTTCACCTTGGGAATGAAATCCGACCGTACCTCCGAGGTAAAAACGTAATCCTTCCATCCTTTTGAGAGTCGACCGCGGCAAAAAACCGTACAATGTCGTCGAAATGTGGCGGAGCGACTCCTCAGTACGCGCATTGTAGGACCTGGTCGGGCGGGTTTGAATCTAATTGGTCGAGGTTTTTGGGACTGTTCCCACTTTGCCAATTGGGACGTAAATTCTGCGGTCGTCCCACAACTGGCGCTCAAACTGCCACCAGATTGTAAGTGACATGGCGCTCTTCTTTAAGCATTGAGAATACCAATGTGAGGACAGTGTTTTCCCCAACTGAAATGTAATTTTACAGATTATTCTCTAAGAAAAACTACAAATTCAACTGTGCAAAACAAATGCGCTAAGTATTTGAAACATTCAACAAAGTATTTGTTCAACATTAGCCTTCAAACATAACAATGTTCAGTACATCCTAATGTGTCTCCAAATTGTAGAGCTATACATTGTATATACTTAACTTGGATATAATCATCCTAACATCTCCTCAAGTACGTATACCAACATTTGTGGAGTTTACGGGCAGAGATATATGTATCGATGCTGCAAATTAGAATAGACCCAGTCCTCAACGGGGATGCCGGTTGAAGATCATACAGATCTTGATAAGTAGATGTAGAATTAGATAAACATTTTTGGATGTTCATTTTGATCGGTGTGGCATGCTGCAATGTTACAAATGAAGAATAGTTACATGTTCTGTGGGTTGTCAGTCAAGATACATGGGCAAATAGAGTGCGTCGAATGGCTGCATAAATAACCAGGGGGCGTCTCTAAATCAAGTTGAGCGTTATGAAGACATTGCCATCTCAGTTTTCCTCTGAATCTGCACAAGGTGCGTTGCCCTCCGAATGTTGAAAAATAGAGGTCTCATGATTGGGGTGACAATACTGTAATGTGGATTTTGTGAAACATATTTTTGTTATAAATTTTTTGTTACTTAAGATACAACTTTGTACCTGGTAACCTTTCCTATTTGCAATATTTTTTGGATTAAAACGAGGTTTTGACCGATGTCCCATCTCGTACCGTTATCGAGATATAGTCGATTCGCATGGCGCGTTTCACCATATTTTCCCTCCTCTCCCCAAGTTCTCGACCACCTGAAAAGGAGGCGACATGCGTATTTTTTCACCACAGTCCGTTTTACAACTATCAGTAAAGATATTTGATATTACTTCGTTGTGACACTCACAAATTAATTAATCACACAAATTAATCCTACTTTCGGTCAAAAAACTACACAAATAGTCCATTTTTTTCATATTTTATACAATAACTTGTTTATTATTAGAGATACGACCTCGGACCCAATAACCATTATTGTAGTCCACATTTTTAGGATTACAACGACGTTTAAACCGATATTATATCTTTTATTATTTTTGAGATATCAGCGTTTTAACGCATAGTGCCCCCCGCCATGTTTGCCCCTTCCCCCCACCTTATCGACCACTTTTGAAATAGGCGACATACGTAATTTTGATCACCACAGTCCATTTTACAATAATCAGCAATAATATATACTACTAATACTACTAATAATATATATACAGTACTACTTTCATGCATGCTCAAACCCCCTTAGCTCCTGGACTATTCCTAATTTCTAAAGATTCAGCACTTTCCAAACTGTCGCATCCGCGTTCCACTGTACGAAGGTCTTCACGGAGAGGTCCACGAAAACGGGTGAACCGCCTGGGGACCGGCATGCAAAATGGCAGCAGGTAATATAGATTATTATAAAGATGGGAGTAGAAAAATTAGAGTATGGCGCGAACTCGTGGCTCGCCATGGGCGATGATGCATCTACCAGCTCCTACTGAATGGCCGTAGATTAATCTACGTCTGAGGCCATCGCGAGCCTCTACCACCTTGGCACGGCTACCAACCTTCCAACAACATTTACCCCGGCTGATTGATGCTGTTGTGAAGATGATTCATCGACTGCCTGATGCTTCTTTCTTGTTCAACTAATACATTAGATAGTGCGTGATGCTTTCTTCAATTTACTTCATTTAGCTCAAGAATGCCAGTGACATTTGAGGAGGTACGGTTGGAAAGCGTGTGACGCTTTTGTTCCACGATTGAAGGCTAATTTCTTCACTTAACTTTTGTTCTGGGGGTTATCAGGTTCAGGTAGATGTCGAGGCCGGCCAAAACATCGCTTTTGTTCCACGGACATCTCTCTTTTTCCACGAGAGAGGGGCTGTGCTCTCCCTCACCCAAATCCTCTCTTTCACTCTCCTCCTAATTCTTTCTTTCATAGGTTAGGTTAGGTTAGGTTAAATTTAAAATATTCATATATTTGTAAAGAGAAATGATAATTTAACGGGTTTTAAAGCCCACATGAAAGAAATAATTAGGAGGACGGCGAAGGAGAGGATTTAGGGGAGGGAGAGTACAGCCCCCTCTCTCGCGGAACAAGAGATATTTCGAAGCGGTGTTTCGGCTGGTCCCGAAATCTAACTGCTGACCCCCGGAACAAAATTGATGTGAAGAAATTAGCCCTCAACCGAGGAACAAAAGGGATGCAGCCGTTGGAAGTCATATTAAAGGACACAAGAGGTTGTATATTGTTTAGATTTATTTACTATTTGCCGCTTTTCATAACGATTAAAAAGCTACTACTTACTGTAAGTGGGCAAAGAACAACTCAATGCCAAGGATACGTGATACATTTTCACTTTGAAATCCTCTTAAACATTCTCCTTTTAAAGAAAAATATGAAAACATCTGTATTAAAAAAATTTATTTTCGGTTATACGAGGAGTCCACACATGCATTTACGTATATTTATGGTAAAGTAAACTATTATATTGTCAACTCGCAGTAATTCTTCCAGCCAAATTCCTTCACAGACTTAACCTCTTCGGGAGTCAATTAATCAGACAAACCCCAGAGCACGGGAGCTCACGCAGACTCAGCATAAATCAGCTGTTTGATGCCAGTCAGCGGTAAATCAGCTGTTTTATAAATCAGCTGTACCAGTAGCACAGGCAGAGCGGTGTATCATAGCGTATAAATAGTGGTAGCGCGTGCCTTTTATCATGCACCAGTTTATTCCTAGCTTCGATTTATCGAACTGAGCATGCAATGCACGTGCCGCTCCTACCAATCGATGTATAATTAAATCGATCATACGGTATATATCGATTGAAGCGATAAAATAATGAATACATTTATAAAGGAAAAACATGCTTTTTCTTATAATTTTCCAATTTATGATCGTGATTCAGTTGTAACTTTTAAATTTAGGGAAATAATAAATTTTTAATTGTTTCCATTACTCTTAACATAAGTATTATTAAATTTTTTTGTTTATTAAATATCTATTTACCAACGATATTCGGCAATATATGTTCAGTAAAATGTTTCTACTTACATAAATCACATTTTTAAAACGTTTCTTAAAATCTCGTTGCATTATGGTCAAGTAAATTTTAGCCCTACGTTGAGATTCAAATTTTTTTTATAAAATAAAAGGAACTAAATGTGCGAATTGTTTTATAACTTTTATTTTAGATAGATTTTATCTTAAAAACATTTCTTCTTGTTAAACTTTTCGGTTTGGACATTCAGCTTATACGAGGTACGTAATTTACTGGTTCAGAAAATCCGAAGTGTGAGATGAATAAGGCTAGGTGGCAATATTTTCTAAGCATACACTCTATTACATGACAACATTAAACAATTCTATTTATTTTTGCATGATTCGTTTTGTATATATTTGTAATAAATAAATATAAAACGGGTCGCCGGAATTTTATCCCCCTGGAATTTTACCCCCTGGGCAAAGCTGACGTCACTATGACGTAGTAACC